AGCAGGATCACGACAGAAGTTTCCCGGTTCCGCCAAGACCAGCTGCCTTCAAACGGCCAAGACCACAAGCAGAGGAGAAAAGGAAGGTGTTCAAGGGTGGCCGAACTGGTGAAAAACGGAAGCTTCCAGAGGAAAGCACTGAAGGGCGAGCCCGTACAAGAAGGAGGATAAACCAAGCTACGGTCTGCAGCACCTTTAAAGACTGGGCCCAGAAAAGGATGTCCGAATATTACAAAGATAAGTAAAATTTTATGTTACTTTGCAAACTTAAGTTAATCTTTCATTCTTACTGCAAGTGGCAGATTTCAAGAAGTTTTACCTCATGCGAGGTCTACCTTTATCGCCAAAAGGGCGAGAAATGAGTTGTTGTGACCGATTTTCTTATTATGTTTTTCAATTACTCGCGCGTAAAACTAAAGTTGATGTATAATAGCGTTGTGTAAGAACTTAAATATTGTAAAAAAGTTATTGTATAAATTTTATTTAAAACATTCTAGCAAGAGAAGAAGTTTTAGTCTGAAAGACTTTTTGAAATGTAGTATTATTTCAATGTAGAAAGAATTGGCACTTGCTTTGAAAAGAATAGAAGTTAACAATGTACTACTAATGTATGTTTTCAAATGTGTAAAAATTAACGGCATGTTGATATGTTCTTATATACATGTGAACTGTTATTTTAAATGTTAAGAAATACCGTGATATGGTAAAAGTGAAAGTAATGTTAAAAATTTGTTATTCGTGTGACTGTAAAGATTAAATCATGGCGAATATGTGGTAAAGGTTGAATGATGTAGTTAGGCTCTCTGACGCTACACTTTAGAGTTAGCCACTTTTAGAATAGTACCTCAGGGTTTAGAGTTGAAAGTAGGGTGTGTTAAGAGGTCTCGTTATGTTGAATTTTAACACGTTAGTGTTTTGATTGTAGGAGGAAGTGTGACACACGTAGACAGAAACACATTCGTGTTTGGTGTTCTTTTACAACACATGTCAGAGAGCACGGGGAGAGAGATAATTAAAATAGTCATGAATGAAATAAGAATGTTAAGAGAAGTATATTCTATATGTTATTTGCCATGTCATTGTGTAACATTTCATTAAACTAGTTTTCCTTCCAGATCTCTGGAAGGAACCAGAATTGAATAAAAGCTCCTGTTTAGATGCAGTACAGATGAAAAAAAAAAAGATTGTTGTATATCCCGGGAGCTGCTATTGTAACAAATTTCTTTCTTTTAAATTTTCTAGTTTCTAGCGAAGTTATGATTGTAAAAGGTTGGCCTCGCGTTAGTTTTATTCTAGAGCTAAAAGTTTTCAACAAGGTCGTTTTAGACCTCAGTTTCAAACTAATTAACTCTGGCGGGAAGTATGTAAGGATCTTAAGTTTTACTAACGTTTATTTTATTTTAAATCTTTACTATCACTTCTTATTTTCTACTTCCGGCCAGAATTATAAGCGTGAAGGAGTTTTATGCAAAGTTTGTCTGGCGAACGCCAAGTATTTAAGTGTGGCCTTTTTGCCAAGAGAGAGAGGAGGAAGCAGTGAGTTCGAAGCAGGCCGCTTACCTTAGAAGTTACGCAGTTGCTGTTGCCTTCCAGGCCAGAGGTTTTAATCCTCTTGATAAATTAAACGTATTGTAGTGTTCACAGTCTCTGTGCTACATACGCTTCCTGTTATATAAGGCCAATCTTCACGTGTATTATTCTAAAGTTAAATTAGAGTTTAGTTTTATTTTGATATCTTTTACGTTAGACCCCGAGTGGAGGGGTCATTGTGTATTCCGAAGTACGGAAGTTATTGTATATAGAGAAAAATAAAGGGTTTTGTATACCCTTCGTCTGTATCCTGTCTACTTACTACAATTAGTGAACATAGCTTTAGTAAGCTCTCTGTTCTAGTCAGGTCCTTGTATGTTTCCGAAGAAGGTTAGAAGAAACATTGAACCTGATACATTCAACGAAGAATTAGGTGAGAAAAATCTTTTCACATCCGAACCGGAGAACGGTCAGACTTCATCTTCTTAGTATCAAAATTACCTAACATATCATCAGTTAAATTCTTCATTACAGAGCTCGGTATCTTCACGACGGAACAACACAGTTGTAAGAATGTTTCTATTTCTTTACTGCGTGTCATGTAACTGGACAGCACGTCAAGCCAGCAATCAAGAAATTCCGCTATTAAATTCTGGTGACACGGAAGTGCTGATTTATGGTATTTTCTGATAAGACTTTTCAAGTGGGAATCCGGCTAAAATGTGGTGGACAACGCTGAAATCTGATGACTGAATTCCCTCTTCTCTAGTTACTTTTAAGTGGAGGACAATGTAAGGAATTACCTCTTTCCTTACCGCCTGTCTTCCTGATGTAATTAGAAATTACGTTAGGCCAGCGATCGAGAGGTTGGGAGTTTAGATCCGGGTTCGCGCACTGAAGATTTTTCATGATTTCTGCTCCAAAATAAACCTAACATTTCTACATAGTTATTCATGAAATTCATAAGAGCGCATTTTCAAATATATTTTCCTTAATTCTATCTTTTATAATTTCTTAATGCTGTCTTCACATAGAAACGTGAAGATATGTGAGTGTATCACAAAAACTTAATTGAAATAAATTTGATTAAAACAATACTTTCAAGTGAAATTCAGTTTTTTGTACTGTTTCTAAGACTGGCGGTTTTTCCATTTCTTGCATAGACTTTAAGTCAGGCATATCAGACTCGCGGCTGCATGTGGCCCTTGACTTATTTTCCTGCGATTCTCTGTTCACTCCAAGAAAGTAAGAAAAAATTGTAAAATATTAGTAAAACATTTGTAAAAATCTGATGTGAACACTTTACGATTTCCTTTTATGGTATATTAAATTTTACATATTTATTACTGAACTCCATTTAAGCTTATTTCCTTAAATAATTCTAATTCAATTAACAAATCTCAAGGCAAGTTGAAAATGACATCAAACATTCTAAATTTCAAAATTCCCGGTCAATTTTTTGCCGTACGTGAATAAAATTTCTTATAATTTTATTTTTTCATGAACAGTATAAAATTTTCCCATATATCAGTATAGGAACGGGGAGTCCTCAGTGTAAGTTAGATTTCTCTACTTGCCGAAAAAAAAATTTAATTTAACAATGCCAAAAAAATTAATATTTTCGTCATTTCAAACATTTCTGTATCTGACAGCGTATGACTACGACCAACGACTGCGAAAATGGAAGATCGTGTAAGGGATGTGCGTATATATATATATTGGTATTGCAGATTGGAATAAAAAAGGAGGTGTACAACTAGATGTTATTGCAATCCCATATATGAAATTTCACCATTCTATAGCTAATTGGTTTTGAATTATACCTATATATATATAGGTATATATATACATACATACATTCGTAACCTTGAATCTCTTTTGAACTTCTTTGGGCCTTAAAATCCCTTTTGAAACCATGTTAACTTGATTTAACAATCTCTTTTGGAAAAAGGTGTCCTTAAATATGTCCATATGTACAGATTTCACTGGAAAGAATGGGTACGGGAACGTTCAAAATGGATATTTCTGTAGAAATATAATACTCGAACATTTTCGCGTTTATAGTTACTCGTTTACTTCGTTAAGGAAGTAAAAATTGGAATTCCACCTAATATGACACAGCTCTAAAGCAAAATTCAAAAATATAAGTATATTTCGAATTTTACATGATTTTTGCGGAGTTACGAGAAAGCGCATAATTGCATTGTACGTAATTTCCATGCATGGCAACACATATCAGAATGAAAAAATTCTTGCAGTTTACGAAAACAGACAAGTCCCCAGCGAGATCCAAGTTAAGCGACACTCATCAGAACTCTGTTCTTAAAATCGATAGTGCGAGCGGTAGTCCCTCAAACATCCGACAGGTTGTTGGGGAAAATATGTCAGAAGAGAAACAATACGTATCTATCTACTGCGTGGGCTTTCCATATGTTCCTTTAATATACAAATCTGATGTCGGGACATGACTTCCTTGTACAATACACTGTTTAGAACAACAAATGAACCGATATTAAATATACTTAGATATTTATAGCAATAAACTGATTATAAATATTGTTAGAATATTTACTGTTAGACTAGCTACATACATAAACTATAATTATTAATGTAGTTACATTTCGTTATTTGTCAAAATTAATTTTTTTTTTAAATTTGACATTACCAAAACATGAATAATTTCGTCATTTGAATGACTTCTGCAGAACAAACTGCAGTGTTAGATAAGATTTTATGTACTTGCTTAAGTTATATATATATACTCGTATAATTAGGTATTAAAATAGCATCTCCCTTTCTTGCGGCTTGAACATTGACGATTATTTATTTGGTCCATTTGAGATACTGAATTTGATATTTCTGCTTTAAATTATGTCATTTTGGCATTGTTTTTGAGGGGCCTATATTTGTATACTGCTGACTGTTTTTAATTTATTTTATTTTTTGATTAAATGCTTTTATTAAGGAAAGAAGCAACTTTGCACTTATAATTTGATTATAAAGGACCTTTAAAAATCTTAATGAACGTATACTTTATTGAATTTTCATGTGACTGGAACTGTCAGTGTTGTAAAGCCTATTACATTTAATTAAATTCTTATACTGGAGTGCTGGGTGTATGATCGGTGAATAAAATATATTTAATTGTGCAGTTTTTTGAAACTTTCGTTATAGTCTATTGTAACTTATAAGAAATCGAGCATCATTTTTTAAAAAATGACCAAATTCTAAAGTAGTTCATATGAGTCTTTTTGGCAAAAATTCATAATAAAAAAAGGGGAATAAAAACTTCAGTTCTTAGAATTTCTGTCTTCATATAACGGAAGGGGGGCTGAAGATAACCGAACCGAGTATGAGAAGACTTTATGTTTTTTGGCTTCTGTTTACCTTGGTGTTTCTATATTAAATCTCACAGACTTTGGAGGTCTATTACAACTGAAATGATAATGTGCAAAAAATGAAAAATTTACTTGGGCATGGAGGCGGTTCACTGGTAAAATAGACATGCTCCTGACATGGACTTTCAGCTATTTCGCCACCCGGCGTGTCTGGCCAACATTGCCATCCATCCCATGTGCGTGCGCAAAATGGACCTTCTGAAAGAACAAATGCTTGAATTAGATGACACACATAGGTATTATAATCAATGTATACAGTTTAGTAGAGAAAGGTTAGTTATTTAACTCTAAGTTTAAATGGCGTCAGTTAATTCGAAATTTTTACAAACTCTACAAAAATGTTAGGATTTTATAGAAATATTTACAAATTATTTTATAACATTTGCTTTACAAAATAATGTATCAAATAATAATAAAAACATTCTTGAAAATATTTGTTATTTATAGAAAGAAGTATAACATATAAATAAATTTATAAGATACACATCACATAAATTGCAGTTTTATGTCATACTTTGAATGGAAAATTGAAAAATTATACTATTTAAATCGTAGCGCGCTACAACTTTACATGCACCTTTAACGTCAGATGAGGTGAAAGAAATTGACACTTACTGAAAGCCATAATTGTAAGACTGAAAGCAACGTAAAGAGCTATAAATACCTTTAAGAAAGTAACACTGATTAAGTCAAATTCTCCTTAACAGTGAAGAATATCACAGACTCCCGAAACTCACAGAAGAAATCAATATAGTCGGGACTGAAAGAGCTCAATAAAGCCGCACAAATCTAAAATGAATTAATAACCTAACTGACAAAGAGGCCTTAGACCCAAACATAGTTGTATTTATAAGGTTGAACACCAATACTGGAAACTTCGGGAAAGTAATTCTTTAAGGCTTTAAAAATATTTTCCAGAAAATTTCAAGAATGTCGCCAAGTTGTCAAGAAATCGCCAAAAATTATTAATTTAAAGACAAAATACTACTGCTAAACCAGGTAGTAGGTGTTTTACGCATATAAGTTCAAATTAAACTATATTTCAACTTTCTCCGTTCGAATCAGAGTTACACAACCTTTAACATAAGGGATGATACAAACACTTACATAAAAAGTAGCCACAAATTTAATTAAATAAAAAGACGCACTTGAATTATTATATAAAATGCGCTAAATTCGTAAATAAATAAATAAATAAAGGCAATTCACATTATTTTAAAAATTAAAATGGAATAAAAAAAGCAAATATTTATACATCATACAAATATGTTATACAGTGAAACATAATATAAAACGAAAAAAAATTAACATCAAATTTTTAATTTTAAGAAAATCTGTGTTGTGACTTTTAACATCATAAATGTAAAAAAATTACCTTAAAATCCTTTTTTGCAGCATAAAACTCATATTAGCAAACTTAAAGCTTTATTTTTTTCCGAGTAAATTCAAATATAATTTTAGTTAACGGATAACAAATCTCACCTCAACGAAACTCTGCATGGCCATGCAATTATTGTCTGCAATCAAGTCTTCTTAAGCAATTCTAATAAACTCCAGAATATGCGAAACACAACTCTCCATGCGCTCATGAATAGTGTTCGACTCATTAGAAATTTACCAATTCATAATGAACTGAATATTCCATTTTCCAAAGCCCATCTTCTAAATTTACGCATAGGTTCTGCAATAAATCTCAACTATCGACAACATTCCTCTCATTTTCCTAAACTGTGACTTCAGTTTCTATATTTACAATAAACTCCCTAAGGCTCTACGCTTCTCATTCCTATGACAACACTCTAAGTCTTTAAAGCAGTTTACTGTGCTCATTAAGCTGTCATATTGCACAGTCATTGGTACTGCAGTATATTGTCTCCCTCGTGTTTTCTAATAACTTTACTCACATTTGAGGCAATAAGGAGTTTATCCTGCGACATAACAACAAGAATACCCAAACCCCGTTAGAGGGCATTTGTAATCAAAAAAATTCACAATCAGCTTCAGAATTTCTCATTATCTCATTGACGTACTCCCCTTATTTTTATAAATTTTCCTTAGCTGCCTTTCAAAGCCACTACATCGTTTAACAGAAGTTATGCATTAGATAGATGGAAGAAAAAAATTCCTGCTTACACTTTTGCGGGCTAAAAAAACTCTTTTAAAATTTTCACAAACTGATTTTTAATAAAATAATTGCGATAATGAATCAATCATGTACTAATCGGTTATGCCCTTACCCATGCTAGTTGCATATACCAAATTTATCTATATCGACTGAAATACTGCCTTCTTGCTCAGTCTGAAGAACACCCTTCTTGCGTTAGATTATTGCGTGTTTGTTCCCAAGACAGGATCTAAGTTTTTTCGGCTTAAACAACAAATGATAAACACTTGTACGGATAAACTAAGCTAGATGGAGGAAATAAAATCGTTTATATAAATGAACCGTTAGAATTTCATCCCTGATAGAAAATATCTAGTCGGCTTTTGCTAATGCATTGAGTTTAAGTGAGTTTAATAAACAGATTGCTTATTCTTATTGGGAAAGCACCCGCTGTATGTAACTATAGAATGGATCTTGTGTGTGAGACATCTCAGCGATACTGACCTTTATTCACGTTACACGCGGGAACCAAGCCAACCATATGACCCCTCATTCGAATGAGATCAATGCTCCGGTCTGTACTGAGTATATCACGCTTCAAGTCACGATCGCAGACCGACGTAATTCCGAGCCGTGATTTTCCCTTTTTTACTTTTTTTATTTAGAGAGGCATTTTGTACTTCGATATTTATAAAAAAGCTAAAATTCAATGAATTAAATCCCGCCTGGCCATTAAAATTGCAACGCCGGAGGCTTTCTGACAAAACCGTCCCAAAATCACTCTCTTCGTAAGCGCTTTACTCAAGATTTTCAGAATCCGTACTGATGGCTTCGAATTGTGAAACGAATTCACAAGCTTGTCAGAAGTGATACGGCAGGATCGTTGCATGATTATTGGTGATACTCTGTGATCTCGCCCTCGCAGAAGTCACTCAACCCTCTCATGAATATGAAATCATGGGTTGATGAAGGGTCCTAATGAACAGTAATGCAGGATCACAATGCTCTGATATTTTTATCGCCAGAGCAACTATAGTCAGCGCGTCACCTCAGCGTTTGATATTTGGCATACATCCGCTCGCGGGTCCGCTGCAGCGGATATCGCACCCACCTTGGTTTTGATGGTGGAAGATGCACAGCAAGATGGGCGCCGACGACAAATGATCCTTATGGCACACATTCTTTCACGCCACTCGCTTATTGGATGGCGCAGTGTGCCCTAGGAGACGCAGTCCCACTCATAACGGCTAGGTTCCGGACCTTTATTTTGGCAGCACCTGGCCCATCTGGGTGTGTTAGGGTGTGATGGGTTTTGCAGACATGCTCAGTCCCAAAGCACATCTTACCTTCGGATCCGATCTAACGGAGATAGATACTTTTCTGAACTCTTACGCAGTTACGTGCCTCTTTGGGGCCGAAATGCCATCAATGCCCGTAATTCAGCTAATATGTGTTTGACCGACCTCGTTACACGGCGCCATCGGCTAGCCGCGCCCCATTGAAACCCCTTGTCTGCCATGGGTCTTCGCTGCCGTTTTTTTGAAGTGTGCACTCGAACGCAAAGCTTCGTTTCTGTCTCTGGTCTGCATAGGCGGGCTTTTCTACTGTGTGCTTCTTTCCTCACTGCTCCACATTCGCTTTGGTTCATGTATGGGTGTATATTTTTTGGTGCCGGATATTGACGTCCTGCTACAAAGCTTGCTGTTTTTGCAACCCACGTGAGTTTTCCTTTTCTTTGTGCAATTTTTACCACAGTGTTCGGAGTTACCTATTCGTGCATTACTGAGGTTTTCATGGTATGTAAGTTTGCTATAATAGCCCTATATTCTTATATAAAGCATTTTGTGTTCTGAATCTTCCGCACTTCTCCGATCTGCAGTTGGCATGGTCCGCATTCTGGTTATCGACGCCGTCTGTACTCATGTCCAGACTCCGCTAGGGATTAGTGGTGCCTGAGGCGACCCTTGCTGCGCGATAAGGTCTTGCGAAATTAGAGTTCCCCTGTGTGATTGACCCCTAGCTCATAGGGAGTTCCTTCATTTGAGGATAGAGGCCCGTCGATGCTATGTTTGTTGATCCGCTACGTTGTTCCTTGCGCATTTTGGAGTGCCATGCTACCGTGTTTGTCTAACTTTAGGTACTACTTTGTTTTTTTTTTTACGTTGAAGTGTATTCTAAATTCAGTTTGTTCTTTTTGTGATAGCCATTAAATTCCTCTCACTGTAAATAAAATGTTAAATGAATTTTACTCAACTATTCGTCACTACTTTTGCTGGTACATTCAACATTCAGAAGACTTATTGTGTTTTAAGTTAATACAAAAAATGCTTATATATTGAGGCCCAAATATTTACGCCTTAGCAGATAAAAAATTCATGCATCATAACAGCCCTGCCTCAGTTTTTCACTGTTAAGGTTTTTTCTGTGTTCCCTTGGTGGGGAATATCAGAAGAATGAGACTTCTCCAACCGGTACTGTTTATATGGTAAAATTGCATTGATTTTTAGTGCGTTGTCTTCTTTTTTCGTCTTTATTTGTTTCGCTGCAAAGTTTTGAAGAATCCGAAGTCAGAATTTTTTCTTGCCACCTAATAAGTTTCTGAAGATCATCGTATCTTCTCGCTCCGAAATACAATCCTGGTGCGTACACAACTTGCGAAAGTGCTTACGGACGATTTTTAGCTTATGTCTTTGTTTTCTTCGATTTACTTCTGGATCATCGATATATGGATTTCTAACCCTTCGAGTATGTCTTTCTTTCTTCAGAATCATAAAATTCATGAAGTATTTCTATACTTCCTGTTTTTGTTGGTGAGAGACTATGTTTCAATGCAAAGGAAACACAATCTCTATACCCATATTTTATCACTCTTAGACCTATTTATAATACTAGTTTTATTCCTGCTTGCAAGCATTGTTTATACACAGTACAATACTTAAAAAAGAATCTAGTGGGACACGTGTCTTCCTTTCATGACCTGTTAAATTACAACCATCTTTTCTGCTCTTCCTTTGAGATCATCGATAATATGGAATTTTCCTACCCTTCGAGTACTTTCTTACTTCAGAATCATAAAATTCATGAAGTATTTTCT